GGGTGGCAGCTATCTCGGGGATCGGGTATCGGTAACGAGTTATATCAGCACCTTTTGGATGGTGCAAGTGTAAATGTTCCCAGAAATAATGTGTTTTGCGAGTTCATATAATTAACATTAAAAGAATATAGATGATAGTTACCTCTGCTTCTCTTTTCTCCTTTAAGAATTTTTTGGCTTCAGTAGCTTTTACAGTGTGGCTTGGTGGTGGCTTTGGAATCTGTATAACGGCTGCTTGAATCCTGGCCATTATTTCATGTTGTCTCCTTCTTCCTATACGATGCTGTATATTTAACATCTTGTGATCAGATACTTAGTTGAAATAGAATACATATATGGCCCTAATATACTACCTGTGTATCTATGAAGTAAATGTAATTAAACCGTAAGGAAAAAATACTCAAGGATGAAAGTAGAAGAGCTTATCAGGCTTCAGGCTTGAGCAAATAACTTTTTTTCTTTCTTTTTTTTTTTTTTAATGTTTAATGTGGATCACTAAAATGCCATGAAAGCAAAAAATTCTTTATCTTTTGTCAGCAAAACCTTGTCTAAAGAATATTCTCAGTCACTGTACTCATAAATCGCCATTTTTATATCAAGAAGTAGATGTTGTAAGAATGAATTTTAAATTAAAGTATCATTCCACATTCTGAATAATTCGTCAGCTTAGCAATATGCCAGTATATGTTCTCAATATTTGAGAATGAAGATACATATTTAATGTACTATTATCAAAAACTGGTACATATGTGTATGTTATGTCTGCATTACCAAATAGTGTAGTGCAATAGAAGCTTATCTTTAAAGAAAAGCAGTTTGTGCTCACTGCCTGACAGGCATTTAAGGACTTGTATTAAATTCCAGCTCTCATATGGTACCTGTTCCAGGTCAGAATGCAGCACACAAACTGAGAATACCAGTTTCCTGGTACAGAAACTGAGAATACCATTAGATAATAATACTGCTGACCAATGAGTCTCAGATAGATAAAAAAATCATAGAATCGTAGAATGTCTGGGCTGGAAGGGACCTCTAAAGGTCATCTGGTCCAACCCCAAAAATAAATAAGTGATATATCACATAAAATATTAATACATTTTCTTTTATAATTTTTTTTAATATTATGGATAGTACTTCCTACATACATGAGGTGATCTCTTTTTTGTTTATTGTTCCTTGTCCAGTGGCGACTGAACAGGTGAATAACCACAGCAAGACTCTCTACCTCTAATTAGCCATACAGACGCACCTCAAATTAGTTAATTTTCATCATGGTTCAACAGCCCTTGGATAGCTGGCCAATTCCTCTTTATAAACTATAGGTTGTACTTTGGATGAGTATTTCCACTCCTTAAGAAATTAGTTTCTTTTTTTTTTACTTTATCAGAACAGCTACACAGAGCTACAAGAGATTCTGAGGCCATATCCATCATAAGTCCCCTTCCCTATGTCTTTTTCCTGCTTTTGAATAATGCTTCACAAATGAAGAATAGCACAAACCTCTTTTACAACACCTTAAACACATACAGTTCTGAAATTTACACTTTGTTTTCAAATGCATAGGTATTTTTCATGCATGACAATATATAAATACTCTCAATATAACATGAAATGATTTTTAAATATTAACGTTTTTAAGGGTCTTAGTATATTTGCTTTATATTTACATACCAATGATTGCCACATGTACCCCTTTTCTTTGTATAAACATGACAGTGTAGCTCAGAATTAAGAAGTATTCACACTGGACTTAACTAACTCATGCACATGATCTCAAGAAAATACTTCTTCAGAAGTCTATAAAAAGTAGTCACCTTTTCAATTTCTTGGGCTCTTTGTTCCTTTTGGTGCTTCTGAACTTTCTGGTTTTCTGCAATATGTATACGAGCTATTTTGTCTTCTAATTCCTTAGATTTCATTTCAAAATGCTCTGAAATTTTCTGTAGTTGCAAATCAGCCTGACGTGGTGTTAAAGTTTTCAAACGCTGAAATTAAACAGCAAGCAAGGAAGAGTGAGAAACACTAGTAAACATACTTAACCTGGATGACTCTGCAACAATAATTTCAAACTCTTTTCCTGGGTATTTTTGGAAAAGTAGGAGTGGCTTCACTGAAAAAGAACATGCAGATTTGAACCTGAACAATGCCAAACTTTGCCTAGTATGTGAAAAGGAGGCTGAGGAGTGGCATCATTGCTCGTGGAGCGGGAGGTGCTGAGCTTTTCTCCCTGGCATCCAGTGACAGGATGCATGGTAAGAGTTCAAAGCTGAGTCAGAGGAGACACAGGACATCAGGAAGCATTTCTTTACCAAGAGGGTGGTCAGATACTGGAACAGGCTTCCCAGGAAGGTGGTAGATGTCACAAGCCTGTTGGTGTTTAAGGGGCATTTGGAAAATGTTCTTGATAAAATGCTTTAACTTTTCATCAGCCCTGAAGCGGTCAGGCAGCTGGACTAAATGGTCACTGTAGGTCCCTTCCAACTGAAATATTCTATTCTACTCTATTCAACCTGAAATACAGAAAATTCAACTTAAACATAAGAACAAAAAAATTACTGAAGGAGCGATAGCCAGTTTGCCCAGGCAGGCTGTGAAATCTCCATCTTTGGAGATATTCAAAACCCAACAGAATAAGGTCTAGAACAACCTCCTCTAGTGGACTTTGCTTTTACCAGGAGGGGTGGATTAAGTGATCTCCAGAGCCCTCTTCCAACCTCAACTATCCTGTGATTCAAATGCCATTCTGAACCAATCTATTGACAGGAGCTACTCTCAGTTGCTTTATCTTCTTTAAGCTATTTCTTTATAGGTGAAGGCATATTTTTATTCTTTGGTACTATCCTTGTACTTATTGATAAACTTACTGCTTGCATTTTCAGGAAGTGTGCCAGAAAAAAAACATGAAAATTCACCCAGATGAATTTGGTTCAAAATATATAGATTCATAAAGATTGCTCATTCTGATAACAAATTAGGATCTGCACATGCTGAACATTACTGTTGAAGACAAGAAGAATGTCCTTAGCAGAATCTGTTACATCAATACTGAGTTTCTAATCAGTACTCTCTTTATGTTTTTTTCCTCTTTGTATTACTTTGTACTATATGGTTATTGCAGGCTGGAGTGTAGCATAAATATATGGGGAGACGTGCAACAGAGGGAACCAAATCACTGTGGCAGGAAGCTCAACATGGTTATACATAGGTTTCCTGAAGGGGAAATTAGTCTAAGTTGATATCTAGACTGAAATGCAGTCTGCAGTCTGTACTGAACAAATGAGTAAAATAGCAGCTGCTGAATAACTACTAGCCTCTGTTGCTATATATATTTTAGGTCTGGAGAAAGCTTGAAAACAGAGCAGGAAACACAGAATGAGCTGAAAGAAAGGAACACAAAACACAGATGATCAATACCCTCCTGAGTCACAGATAAAGCATGTATGTATATACACTATGTATAAGACAGCAAAAGACTGCTTCTTTTCCATTCAAGTAATGGGTTCTTTATAGGAGATTTAAAATGTGGGGCATGCAATATGCTTGGAGGTACATGTAAATATGCTACCTTTTTTCCTGTATATTTATACAAAATAGGCATAGTTAGTTACCTCTTGATACAAAACACTTTCAACAGACTTGAGCTTTGCAGTTGCTGAAGGCCTCATTGCTTCCATGGCTACTCCAGTAAGCTTTGCCTTTCTCTTTTTTTCTAAAGCAATATACAATTCATATAAAAGCTTTGTTGCAGCCCCATGCTGTCCCATCATGATGTCTTGGGCCACATTCTCATTAAACTGTACACCAAGGAGGTGAAGAGTGGGCTCCAGGCGAGAAAAATTGTTAAGTTTTGCATTTGCAACCCTATATGATGAAAAACAAGAAAAAAAAAAAACAAAAAAAAAACAAAAAAAAAAAAAAAAAAAAAAAAAAAAAAAAA